TGTCAACCAAATTCCAGATGTTATTCCTAGCGAGTGAGTCAAGTTCAACTTCCATAGCCTTTTGCCATTTTTCGGAGTCAGGACTATTGATCGCTTGGTGATAGTTTGTTGGTTCTGTAATGGTGGTATCATACTGAATGTTGTGTCCATATCTGACCGAAAGTTTCCGTTCCCGTACTGGGTTACGTCTCGGTTGATCAGTTTCTGTGTCAACATCATTGTACGGGGTACATTCAGGAGCGGCTTCTTCTTCTTCTTCTTCTTCAGATTCGTTGTTGGAAATTTGTTCCATAGTTTCTCGAAGCATTTGTTGGTTAAACAGGTCTTCGATATCGGAATCGGAGAGTTTCACAGGTGGTGTTGGTGGACGTGAGGGTGGTTCTTGTTTGATCTCGATTTGGTTTAGTTTATGGGGTATGTCGGTTTTCATTGTTTCGATTTCTTCCCCTACGGACGGACCTTTAAACTTAAAGGGACGAGAGAGAACTACTTTTCTTTGTGATGGTATATAAACACAACAGATTTTATCAGAGTCTCCATAACCACAGAATTCTCCCGTGATTGCCCTAGTGTCCAGTTTTGTTCCAGCTGATCGTGCTTCGACAGGTATATGAATGAACATTGTTTCACCGAAGGATCGGAGATGCCCAATGAAGGGTTTCTTGCCGGTGTGTGCTTCATATGGTGTCATGTTTGGGAGTGCTTTATGCGGGAGACGATTCTTGACATGTATCATTGTATTGATCGCTTCTGCCCATAGATTCCGTGGAAGATCGTGGTCGAGCAAGGCGGATCGTGTCATTGTTGCTATTGTTCTGTTGAGGCATTCTGCTGTTCCGTTTGACTCATGAGAGTAGGGTACAGTGAATTCATGCTTTATGCCTTTGGAGGCAAAGAACTGTTGAAGATCGTTGGAGATGTACTCGCCGCCATTGTCGCTTCAAAACCGTTTGACTGTTTTGTCCAATTGATTTTCCATATATGCGATATACCGTTGTGTGGCAGCTGCTGCATCTGACCTCTTTTTAAGGAAGTAGAGGTGAGCGTACCTGGAGTAATCATCGATGAAAGTAATATAGTAAGTAAAACCGCCAAGAGAAGGAGTGGAAAACTTGCCACTCAGATCTGAGTGGATTAGTTCTAGTGGTTGTTTGGAACGTGGTTCGGTAAGAGGAGCGAGATGGGATTTGGTATCTTTGGCGAGTTCACATGTGTTGCATGTTTCTATGTGACCTGTTGTGGGGAGAGACTTTGGGTCGGCGACCATGTTACGTAACCGTGAGAGCAAAGAAGCGGGGAGATGTCTGAGTCGTTGGTGCCAGTCATAGAAGCTGGTAGCGATGGAGATGTGTGCGCAAAGTTCCTTGGTTTCAAAGATGTAGAGACCAGTACTGTTTGCGTTAGCGATCTCAACGATTTCCTTGCTGTTTGGTTTGTAAATGGTAAAGCCGTTTTCTGTCCCTGTCGTTGTGAATCCCTTTTTGGCAATACATGACCAAGACATTAGGTTGGTGTTGCCGAGTTCTGGGATTAAGAATACGTTCTGCAGAGTAATGAGGCCATGTGATCCGTTGATGGTGATGTTTCCAATTCCGGTTATCTGTAGCTTTCGCCCACCGCCAACAGTGACTGTTCCACTGTAAGGTAAGGAGTTGATAACCTGAGTTCCGGTCATGTGGTTAGTTGCGCCAGGGTCAAAGATCCATGCCTTGTTGTCAGATGTGGAAGGTCCTGCAACGAAGCCAAAGTAGTCTTCCATTGTTACATCCGAGGTATCTGAGAAAGTGGTGAAGTCGAAAGAAACCGGCATAGTAAATACATCAGCTTCTTCGAGTGCGGGGAGGCCAGAGAGGTCAGGAATCCAAGAGAGATCAAGTTTTGTGTGAAATGCAGTACCGGACGCGACGTTAAGGTTGCCAGATACAGCGGACTTCTCTTTGTCTCTGAAAGCTTTAAGTTTCCGGCAGTCTTTATGTGTGTGAACTTTTGCAAATTCGCCGTTCTTGGTGCACCATGTACATGTAAGATCCTTTTTATCCTTTTTGTTGTTTCGTGCCTTGCCGACTTTGTTGTTGTTTCCATGTCCTGGGTTTCCTCGCCTGATGTTGTAGGCTTCTCCAGTCGCTTGTCCATCGTTGTTGCGCCGTAAGTCCAGATCGAACAGCTTTTCATAGACATCATCAAAGGTGACATTGGGCTTGGTTTGCAGATTGTCAACGACTGATTCGAGGGATTCGTGCGGGAGTGAGAGTAGTAGGAAGGATGCCTTCACTTCTGAGACTGATGCGAGTTGATGGATGTGGTAACCGAGTGGGTCTTTGGTTTTGTCCGTAGAGTTACTAGTTCTAGTGAGGAGGGATGACCAAAGAGTATTGAATTGGGTTAGATGTTCCTTGATACCTTTGTCAGGCGTATACTGTAGGGTTACAACGTTGGCAAGAAGCGAGTGGAGGGAAGATACAGTTTTCCGGTCAAATCTGTCCTCGAGTTGAGTCCAGAGGTGGTGAGCGGTGTCGGCCGGAGTAAGCGTGAGGATGACTTCAAATTCGATGTTGGATTGAAGGAAGACGACGGCGAGGTTATCTTTCTTGTCCCATTCGCTGATTTCTTCGGCATTGTCTGTGGTTTCTTCTTCGTCCTCTTCTGCTGGTGTTGCTGCTGCTGCACCTTCTGCTGGTTGTTCTGCAGGTGGTGCCGCTGTAACCGTAGTGGTGAACGCAGGACGCTTACTCGTACCATTGACTAGATTCCACAAATCGTAAACTTTTAACATGCGACAAGCGAGGTCCCTCCAAACAGTGTAATGGCCTTGGCCAGACAGCTTGCATGGTAAAGCGGGAATTTTAACGCTGTTGTTTGACAGGTTTGAAGTGAAACGATAGGGTGTACTTTAATAGTAAAAATGGTTTGGAGTATTATTAAGCGTAGATGGTCTCTGGGCTCATAACCTAGAGAAAATATATGTAGAGAAGTGTAGTAATTGAGCGTATTATTCCAACAAAATAGAGAAGGGGGAATACCCCATATTTATACTAAAGAAAGGTAACACAAAACATAGTGAATCATAACCGTATGAGTAATAGAAAAACATGACTAATAAATACCAGAGAAAGAATGAGTCAAAACCTGTGACTCATGATGACAAATAAGAATCTTCCAATACTATGAAATGTGCTGAGCGTACTATTTCAAGAGTTATAACTCTGTAGATAAGGCGGAATAACCTTTATTCTTTAAACATGCTGCTACTCAGGTAGACGTTACTCTATCTTACTTGGCATGAAAGGCTCTCGGGTTCGGTCATACATCAATAATGGGTCGAAAATATAAGAGAAGCGATGATAGGGCCACACTACACACCAGTGTCAAGACCTGAGACTAGGATTTTGATTCGATTGCATGCCGCTTTCCTACCATAGCCCTGCAACGAACGCTGTCATCGACCCAGCAATAATCAACACCTCAAGGAAAGAAAACAGAAGAACAACCAGTCCGACTTTGCTCATATGAATACTAGTTCCTTGACTCTTTCCCAAAGACCCGGGGGTGGGCAATATAATTAGTCTCGAAACATCGTAAAATGTTGAAAAATGGAGCATTTTCCAGGCCAAAGGTCTGGTATTGTCTCAAAGCAGACGTAGGGTTGGGTGGGTCTTGACTCTAACATAATTGTAGGGTTGGGTGGGTCTTGACTCTAACATAATTGTCAATTAAACTCGGCGTCAGTTTGGCTCACAACGACGCTAGCATTAACACTAAGCCGGATTAGGTTTGATTCGAGACAAGGTCTCATACGTACGAATTCTGCAAACCCTAACCCTAATTCTCATTTTAATCTGTATACTATCGGATTCTGCATCAGTATAATCTACTCAGGGGTACATACATGTAACCATTACCCACCCGTCGATCCAACCCTAATCCGCTCTGTAGTCTGGCGCGAGACCACGATCACGAGACTTTGCGTGATACAGACCCTAAGTCTCCTCAACCACAAGATTCTCTCTTCCTAGATGCCGGACGAGACGAGATCAAGGGAAGTCTCGTCTTATTTTGTGTTGTGTGCACCACTGGTATTAGGCAAGACTGGGATAAGAAAAACTGCCGAGAGGATTGGAAGAGGGGTCATAGCAATTGCCAAATTCGACCAGAAAGCCCTGATGGAAGAAGCAAAACAATCTCAATCAAGGCCTCACTCGCGACCACGTCATGGGTCGTCACTCGTTCATGAGATGTCACTCGAGTCCCGGAACGTCGTATGAATCACAATCTGTCACTCGGCTGACGGCTATGTTGAAACGGAGCACTCTGATATGGACAGCGCAGCGATATTGTACCCAGATAAAGCGTTGATAGGCGAACATATAGCATCCAGTATTGGTGGTCGTGGTGTCACATCAATGAAACCACTATCCTCCCTCCCCCCCCCCACGCATCTCTAGAATTCTCAAATTTGCATCGGGTGGTCTAAGCTGTTTGGTTTCTGTCTCCAATCGCAACTTATGATAAACTCAAACTACAGCTGCCATTGCTCGTCGCCTACAGATGCAAGAACAGAAAGCTCCCTGGCTAGCGGAAACCCTAACCCTACATTACAGAGTTGATTGATAATTCATTCGTCTGTGCTATGTCACTACGTTACCGGGTTGCTACAATTACCCTAAATATCAAAATTACGGTCGCAATCGCTGCTAGTATAAGAAGTCAATCCATGCCTGCATATATCCATTGCACTAGGTTTAGAAGGGTAAACGAAGAGAATAACACATTGATATCGAGACGTAGCCAGACATGAATTTGGGAATCGGGTGTGAAGCGTAAACTCTTTTTGGCCATGGAATTCGGCCTATATTCTAAATGGAGTCTACGTTCGAAACGAACACAGGCCAGCTATTGCGTAATGTAGTGCTAGAGCACCAGGATAGATATGGGCCATTCCAAGCACCAGATCCAGCTCTAGCAGCCATCATGTAAATACAAAGAAGAACCAGCTGAGAACACTACAAAACAGCCAAACGCTCTCCATCCTCCCCAACCCACACCTCACCTTCCCCTTCGCCCTCACTCTGCTCCTCCTCCAACACCACCTCGACACTATCCTCCTCATATTCCTTTCCTCTCCCATTACAAAGCTTCCACCGATTCTTCCCCAACACCCGCTTCTCCGCCTTGCTAGAAAACCACTTAAACCCTATCTTCCGATATTGCACCGCATACACCTGCTCTCCCTCCGCATGCCACCCCATCCGTTGAACCGTACCCCCCTCACGCCCCACATCCACCCCCAGCAGCTCTCCCTCCGTCGCTGACCCCCCCAATCCCCCACTATCCTTATTGCTCACCGCCACCACCGCATCAACGACAGTATGATAACCAACCACCAAATATACGCTGTTGCCATCCTCCATCGCCTCCTGCAGCCATTCTTTGACCTCGTCGTCATCGCACGCATCCCTAAACCATCTCGTGCTTTTATCCATATAGTACGTGTATGCCTCCGTCGCAGAGAGGTCGATGTTCGCCGTCTGGGTGCTGTTGTACCGAGCTGACAGGAGCTTGGTGAGACATGTCCGCAGCGTGGTGGTGCTCGTGGAGGAGATGTTGCTGTAGTAGTTCTTTTGAGAGATAATGAGAGGGTCTGGGGGGTTGGGGGGGTCGTGGTAGGACGCGTGGGGGGCGGTGCGATCCAGGAGGAGACGACCGAGACGGATGGATGTGAGGGGGAGGAGCGTGGGGGTGAGGTTTGTGGGCATTGTGGATATTTGGGAAATTGGTATTATGGCACGGCGAGGTGGGGTTTGATGTTTGAAGGATGGATGGGCGTTCGGCTTAAGTATGTACCTCCGCCATCGACTGTGGGAGATAGATACTCTACACCTCATGCACCCAAGCAAATAGTGTGCGTAATCCTGTGCAGCGTATGTATGTACTCTACATGGAGTACTAGTATTTCGCTGACGTTTTTGAACTGGGCCATTATTGCATACACCCAAAATCATGAGCTTGGCGTATTTTTGTATGGCATGCAATATCAGTCGCGTCCACAAACGTCAGAGAAATACGAGTAGAGTATTGTACATACAGCGATTCGCGAATAAGGGGGTTTGAGCCAATAGAAATCGATACTGACTGCGTCTTGACCGAGAATGGCTGTAGAGTACCTGTATGCGCACCCGGGCCGATTGAAAATCAAACCTCTGCAGTGCGCAGTCCGCGGGTCTGCATGCTCATCCGCAGATGAGTTTTCATGGGTTGCCTCCTAGAGGTTGGCGGGGTCAGACCGTTTTACGTAACACTCGTAATTTCACAGCGTTTGTGAACACAGCCAGTGGCAGTGGGGCTGCATAGACCAAAGTCTGGAGCCTCATGCAGGATCTCTCGAGTAACTATGCACACCCACAAACGCTAGGGAAGGCATCACCAGACGACTTTTACTTTCATATTACTATGGGGGATACACATTTTCTGATTCGTTCCCTGCCGTGGTAGAGCCAGAGCTCGAGTAACTAGAGTGTTTTCTCCGGAGCACGCCTCCACTAAGCCTTTCTCGATGGGTACCGGTGGCTGCGGCTGAACTGGCGATATGTAGCAGTCAGCCTCCCTGCAGAGAGCCCTTATGCGAATCTCCCGCGCCCGCCTTGGTGTGACTGTTCAGAAGAGGCCAGTTACATATCCTTTATCTCGCCCTTCCCCCCCCTAGTCTCTACACGTACCGGTACTCCGCCATCACCATTGAAGCTCATACTGCATACTAGTACCCTAACTTGTACTAATACAATTGACGACACCCAACGACACCCACCGACGCGCCAGTCGCAACTATTCACCAGCGCCAATGAATCCTTCTATAACCGCAACTTCTGCCTCGACGGAAACGCCACCCACAGATATGGATTCTCCGCCGACCCACTCAATTATGCCGCGCACGGAGCCCCAAGTAACGATGGACCCCACAGACGACCTCAACTACGCTACCAATTACCCCAAATCAACTCACCTGGCCTCCTATATGCCCCTGTTGGATAGGTGCCCGGAGCTCATTCCCATGACTAACCTCTCTCCTAGAGATCGTCTGGAAGAGGAATTTCGTATCGCGCTTACCATGGAGTCCTTGAACATCCGGAGGGGTAAGAACGGTCTTGCAGGTCTCCCAGAGTTCGCAATCCCCACTATTACGTATCAGTATCCAGCCAGGAAGGGCGGAATGATAAAGATTGCCTCTTTCAATACAGGTGGGAGCTCAGGGTTAAACGTGACAAGGAAGTGTGGTGTATGTTTGTGAGGGTTCGGGCTGACAGTGGTAGGCTACAACAACGACCAGGCGGAGAAGATAGTACAAAAGGCCTTGGAGGGTTTGAGGGATTTGGACATCAAATCTGCGGTGGATGGGAATGGGGAAGAGGTAGTGGCCGACGATAGTGAGAATTACTCCGCCCCGCCAGCCGCTGCACCGGTCAAGCAGGGTGCGGACCTTGGTCCGTCCGCACAGCCCAGCTCACGTATGTCAGCGGAGCCCACCACACCGATATCAAGCCCATCAGGCGCCGGAATTACCGCAGAGAACGCACCCGCCGCGGAGGCCCAACCTACACTCACTTTAGTGCCGGGGTCCGACCCACCCTCACAAATACCCGCCATAGACACCGCCGTAGAGACCACAGAGGACCGGCCCTCATTAACCCACGATACTTCCTCATTACAAGGTCGTTCCTGGCAAACTCTTACGGTCGAAGAGGCCACCCACGCCCTTTCCCGCACACCTCCCACACATCCGCACCACGCCGCAAACGTTTTCATACTCGGCCAACTCTACCTTCTCCGCTACAACTCCACGAAAGACCACACATTTTTAACCCTCGCCCTGAAACACACCGAATCTTCCCTCCGCCTCTTCCCCGGCATTCTTCGCCTGATCCCACTCGTGAGCATCTGCCGCATCTTGAGCTTGCAGGGCAGCTATACCCGCGCGGACTTGCTCCTGAATGAAGGCTTAGTTATAAAGATTGAGGGGGCGGGGGTCTCCACGCTGATGAGTTCAAGTCGTTTGCGCGGGGAGCGCTACTCCACTACACAGGAGGCAGAACATCTAGAGATGGCAATAACATATATGACTGAAGAGCTGGCAACACAGAGCGGGGAGGGAAGAGGCTCGCTTTTACTCACTTTGAGTTGTATGCACAATTACAGCTTCATGGCTACACGGGAGGCGGCAGATCTGGACATGGCCATCGACCATCTGACCGAGCTGACGGGTCTAAGCGCCAACCCAAAGCTCCGGAGAATGTTGGCAAGATACCACGCTACCCGCTATGAGACTAGTAAAGCTCTGACGGACCTGGATGCCGCTGCGGCCGCTCTGGAAGCTGCGCTATATGCCGCCAAAGGAGGCTCCGCCGCTCGGGCGGACACTATCCTCCGCGCAGCGGTGGCCCGCCACAGGTGGCTGAATACTGACTTGGGGGCAGACGTGAGAGACGCGCTCAAGTGGTTATATATAATGGCCCTGACGTTCAGACCATATGCAATGCTAGTTGTCGAGCTGGAGTTTCCAAGCATCAAAGCTCTACTTCTTGCCCATACACGCATAATTGGTGACCGCGAAAGCCTGGTGGAACTGAAGCACTTTGCTTCCAAATTGTTTGATCAGCTGCCCGAGGGTGATGAGCGAAACAAGATGGCGGTGGAGCTGGCCAATCTAGAGTCCAAACTGGCTGACGGCTATGGCATGGATCCAATTGCTCATGTAGAAGCGGGACTGGATGTTATTGATCCGGAGGAGGAGCCGGAGTTGTATATCGATCGCCTCGATATTCTTTCTAATCACCTCATGGCGCGATTCGAGCGCTACGGGAACCCTGCAGATGTAACAGCTGCGGCGGAAAAGCTAGAGATTGTTGTTGCCGTGACCGAACCCGTAGGTTGGCGCTATTTCGACCGCTTGCAAAGATCATCACGATGCCTTTACATACGCCACAGGGCGCTAGGGGAGCCAGCGGACCTCGACAGTGCAGTAGCCTACGGTGAGATGTGTTTGGCCGCGGCGGAGGCCTTGCCAGGTGATGATGGCTCCCATCATCACATTCGCGCGTCGCATTTCTTTCTCATCATCGCCTACACCGCGAGATTCAACCAAACAGACCAGGTGTCGGACCTGGACAAGGCGCGGAAGCTGGCCACGGTGGCGTCCGAAGGGATAGAGGAGGGCGATCCATTATATGCTTCCAGCCTGGCAAATCTCGCTCTGAACTACGGGAAGATGTTCGAGAGGAGCAGTGTGAAAATGCACATCGATTCTGCCATTGAAATTGGCCAGCGGGCTCTGGAGATGGCGTTCAAGTGTAAGCTTGACCGAGAACACCAGGCTACGCATATGGAGCGTCTCAGCCGGTTTTACCTGTTGCGGTACCTAAGAAAGCCCATTGCCAGCGATGAGGATCTGGTAGACGGGATCCGTCACAGCGAGGAGGCGCTGAAACGGACACCAATGGATCACCCGGGGTATGCAGACCGCCTAATGCTTCTTGGGCGCTGGGCCCACCGGAAGCATATGCGGAAACATGGCAGCCTCGAGGATATGGATCGGGGGATCAAATACGTGAAGACTGCACTTGATATGATGCCGAGCGGGAGCCCCAAGCAGGCGGACGCGAGGTCGACGCTCGCTCTAATGCAGGTGATGCGGCGGGCTCTTGGTGACCCCACTGACAAGGTGCTGGTCGACGCGGACACGCAGGCGTGGCTGGAGGGATCAGATGGATCGATAGAGGGGGTCCTATCAGCGCAATATTGGCTGCGGTATCAGCGGCTTGGGGACTTGACTGATATCGAGAAAGCCGTCGAATACTCTCACGCCGCACTTTTAAAATCACCAGAGCGAGATGCCACACGCGGGGCTGTCCTCGCAGTGTTGGCCGGCCACCTCATGAGTCGGTACGAGAGACTGGGCGCAATGGACGATCTCGACATGGCCATTTCCAAGGCGCGGGAGGCGGTCGAGTGTACGCCGTTCGACGCTCACGGCCGCCACGACCGCCTGATAGAGCTCTGCCAACTCCTCATTGACCGCTATCGCCGCATCGGCTACGCCGCATTCGACGACCTCCTCGCCGCCATAACTCTCGGCCAGCGCTGCGTGGAGGTCACCGACGGCAGCGATCCACCGGTCCATTTGCAGATCATGCTCGCCGACGCCCTCCACCTTCGCCACACCATCTATCCAATCCTCTTCCACGACCTTGAGCGCGCGATAATTCTCACCCAAAATGCCAGAGCCCTTATAGGGCAGATGTGTTCGCGGAACGTACACCCCATCGACATCATCCACCGGCTTGGAAAGCTTTTTCGCTCGCGCTTCCGCTACACTGGCCTGGTCCACGACATTGACACAGCCATTGAGCACTTGAAGACTACCGTCAGGGAATGTTATGATGATGAACCCTCCCGTGGAAAGGTCCTGGACGATTTGGGACGATGCTATCTCCTCCGCTACCAGGCAAAGCAGAACACGGGCCCGGATGGGCAACTATCATTCCACTCCTTCCGCGACGCATGGAACGTCACCTCCGCCGCGCCACTGGTACGCATCCGCGCTGCACAGATGGTAGGGAACGTCTATGCCCGCTCTGGAAAGTGGACCGATGCAGCGGGTGTGTACGAGGCCTGTGTGAACCTCATGCCGCGGGTCAGCCTACCGTTTCTCCCCCGCGTGGATCAGCAGCGGCTGTTGGCGATGCTCACCGGCGTTGCGTCACAGGCGGCTACATGCGCTTTATTGGCCAGGAAAGGAGCCATACACGCGCTGAAGCTACTTGAGCTGGGCCGTGGGATTATTGCGGGCTTCGTTATCGACTGTCGCAGTGACGTGACAGACCTGGAGTCCGAGCACCCAGAGCTGTGGCGTCAGTTTACGGGATTGAGGAGGCAGATGGAGGACGGGCTTGCAACACCACTTCGAGCAACCGGGTGGGAGCTACTCGGTCCCAAGAGTGTCATGGCCTGGCGTAAGAAGGTGATGGCCAAGATGGAGGAAGTGCTAGGAACGATACGAGGCTTGCTAGGGTATGAGGGCTTCCTGAGGCCGCCGAGCGCCGACAGTCTCATGGCGCTCGCCGTCTCTGGGCCTATAGTGGTGGTCAACGCCAATGCGCCCCGCTGCGACGCCATCATGGTCACTAGCACCGCCATCACGAGCATCGCACTCGATAGATGGGAGTGGAAAGAAGCACATCAACAGCTGGGCGGTATGAAGGATCTCGTGACGGGCGGTATGTCCACCTACGCCGTCCGCACGAAGAAGATGCAGGAGCTGCTAATCTGGTTATGGGATGTCGTTGTCTCTCCCGTTCTCACCGAACTTGGCATTACCGCCCCACCACCACAGGGGGGTGAGCTACCGCACATCTGGTGGATCGGCACCGGTCAGCTGGGTCTGGCCCCGTTCCATGCAGCGGGACATCATAAGGATGGGTCGACTGAGAATGCAATCAGTCGTGTCATATCCTCGTACACGCCAAACATCAAGGCGCTGCAGTATTCTCGGCAGAAGCCCGCGGAGCCCATGAGGGACCTGTTGCTAGTCACAATGCCGACGACTGAAGGCAAGAGTGAGCTTGAGGGTGTGACGGAGGAGGTAAAACGGATTATTGAGATTGTGCAGCCCGATGTCGCGACCGATCTCATGGTTCACCCCGAGGTTCCGGAGGTCCTGTCATCCCTCGGCAACTATCAAGTCGTTCATTTCGCCTGTCATGGTGTTATCAACGCCGAGGATCCCAGCAGCGGTGGACTCCTACTGCAGGGGGGACGACTCACGGTTGCCGATGTAGCTGCAAAGAGCGGATGCGCAATGGTGGCCTATCTCTCCGCCTGCTCGACAGCTGAAACTGGAGACAGTGTGTTGGTGGATGAAGGAATCACGCTGGCTGCCGCCTTCCAGATGGCGGGATTCCGGCATGTTGTGGCGACCATGTGGGAGGGGCGAGATGAGGTGTGTGTGGGGGTTGCAGAGGGGTTCTATGAGAATATAATGAAGGGGTTTGGGGTGGCGAAGGCGCTTCATGATGCTGTTGTCAAGGCGAGGGGTGAGGGGAGGCGGGCGGCGAAGGTGTTGAATTGGGCGCCGTTCATACATAATGGAGCGTAGGGGCTTGACTGGTGTTTCTTTTATTATTGTACTTTCAATGAATGATGGATGTTTTGATTTCGAGATATTTATGCGAGTATGTACGTACCACGGTGGTGATATCAGAGAATAATTGTCGACTATGCCTTTTTTTGGTTGCTGTGATGTAGTGGTCAAGCGGAAGAAAGTTCCACTGAGGAGTCCCAGCTAGCTCGGGGCCTTTATGTCTGTGAACAGCGACTTAGTCTGCTTCCGAGAACAGATATCTGTAATCCCGTGAAGATATCATTTAGTAACAAAGTTGGGCAGCGAAGAGTGCCGAAACGTATTACCTACAGAAGGATGTATTGACGCCGTAGCGCCATTACAATATTTGTCGAGTCTCAGCTGGACCGTTCCGAATTGGTTCCCCCAACGGGCATTGTTAGCATGCACTCAAACTTTCTCATGTCTCATGCAAGGACTTTTGTACCTCTTGCAGTACGTCTTCGTTCTTCGGTTTGCTCGATTAAACTCACGGAACGGTATTCGGTGTTGATCTTGATGACATTGATGGCGCCGTGAATTGCTCAGATGGTATAGGTACGCTGGGCGCAGTGACAAGTTGTTCTCAACAAGTGTCGATGTTGTGAGGTTCCAGGATGTTGACGTCAGCGGGGTACATTGCGGGGGGGAACTTGGCGGCGGCGGCTGTTGCCGTAGGTGCATGATGCAGGTACAGTTCCTGCCAAGCAATCGTCGTCAGTTATCGGTTATCGCCCCACCTGCCTTTTTCAACATCTTCACTCTTAAGCGCCACAGGTACAACTAAAACTCGAAAAATTGTTTCGCGAATGTGATAGAACAATAGTTCCCCTCGGCGGTAGTTAAGCGTGTTCTACAGTCCTAGCGGGGGCTTGGGGTCCTCGGAATTTGAGCGCTTAATTCCGGCATATTTGAATACACTTTGGGTGGAAAGTTGACGCCTGCGTGCGGTGTTACCCCTTCGTTCGTGCCCGGTTCTCACATCGTTGATATTCAAAATACTAACTGGTACACGGAGTAGATATCCTCTAGGAGTGGAGATATCTGTCGAAAAAGAGTTCACAAACTGTGACTTCGAGCTCAAAGATGTTCGCACAGCGGGGGCTAGATTGAACAAGTGAAACACCCCCAATAGCGTTTGTGGCCAAAACGAACGAGTACGCAGGGGTGCGGAGTGGCTTAGATGCTCGTGGACTTGACTTACAATTCGCGGAACCAGTTTTCAGGTACTCGAGAGAGCTAATTGACGGGGGAGCAGCGGCGGACAGCGCAGAATTTCATCAATCCGGAAATAAGGGACTTTGGATTGACTCCTCCCATTAATAATAATATGGTTTTGAATTTATTGCCGGCCTGCTCCCGCCACTATTGTGTAAGGAAACAAGCACTTGCACTGCTTTTCTGGCAATCGGTCTTTAACCGCCTTTCAACATGCAAGATCCAGAAGCTAACTAGAGCCATCGACGTGCGGTGCAGGATTGACCCACTTGTCTTACCAATGAAATTGATCCAAACTGAAGTTCTCCCCGTAGATCACACTGCAGCGCCATCGTGGGAATTGCTTATTATGACTACTGGTGACATAACTGAGGGCTGGATACAAAAGGAGTCTGTTCTGCCTCGGCCTCGCAGAATTCATGCCGTAGCCTTTGGTTATAAATCAAGTGCTAGAGCCAGCGCCATATCGCCCGAGGACAGAAGTTCTCATACCCATAAACGGTGGAATCCAAACGTCTTAATCACCGCCACCACGTATCGAGTATCTGCATCTTGTTCCTTTAATCACTCCCCGTGCCCAGGGATTAAAGCAATATATTCCTCAGTTGTGGCCCAGGACAGAGACCAGCGACTAATCCGGCTACCGAATCACAGGGTATCACTCGGACTTCAACTCTAGTCCGGCTGCTGATTTTGGGCTTCCGCGCATCGGAGAGAAATACATGTAGTTTTATCATCATTAAGTGGTAACAGGAGCCCTACTATCGTTGATACCAACACTTCTATGGGTATATAAAGCCTATCTACGGTAATCATCATAAAAGAAACCAAGTCTCGGCCCTAAGCCCCAACCCTAACCCTACCCTGGAGCCCTTTATTCCCATGCTCGATCCTCCTCTCCCCCATATCACCAGCGCCGAGCTGTAGTGGTAGCTCTACACATTTCACACGAACGTTCCCGCTAGCGCCCAAGAGCAGCAGCAACCACCCATAGCCGATAGTGATCATGAGGAAGAGGGCTCTCAGGACACCAACGCACGAAACCAGAGTTGAGGATTCGGATCAAGACTTTCTCACCTCGAGCGTGCGATGCGCGACCCTTATCAACCTACCAGAGAACAAACATTAAGCGATCAAAGTCGCCGTCGGTAACCTATCTGGGGGGGCAGTACCAAAAGACTGCAAGCCCGGTATCCTCTTTGCGTATGCGCCAGTTCTCTATTGTTTGTGACCAGGACAGGGACAGGGGTCCTTCGCGTGTTTAAGCTTAGAAACCAACTGCATATCAGCCGTCGGGTATTACAGCCGTTTTCATAACATAAACCTTGGCCACACATATAGAGCTTACAGTGCGACCTGGAAAACCTTAAATTGATTACATGTACCTACCTACTTGGGCAAGATGACCTGTGAGGGAATCCCTTTGATTAGTGCCGGTCCTCTATCAGCCAATCAGATGCACAACGTATTTAACTGGCCAGGATGCAAGTTCTGTTTGAATGGAATTAAAGACCACGGGAGAAAACGTGCAGAAAAGCCACACGCCCACCGCCAACCGTGCGGGACAGCTGGGCATCACCAGAAGCACACAACACAACACATGGGTATTATTCACCAACGTTCACCCGGCCCAGCACTAATTACATACATACAAGTACATGTAGGTACATGCCTGCTCTCGAGCAGAATATATTTACTCTACTCTGGAGGGCTCTACTGCCTGCAAAGCAATGACCCCTTCCCAGAACGGCATGCCCTGAGCTTGTGCTGGTCGCGGTACTCGTTAACGTTACGTATAGATATTGTATATTGAGATTTCTCTACTCCCCCCTCTGGCAGGATGTACCGCCTCCAACTGGCTTAGGTATTGCCCACTCGAGTCTTCGTCTACCGCGCACAACAAGCGTTAGACCTGCATCTCGGCAAAGCTGCTCTAGGGATGGATTTCAGCCCCTCGGCGGGCGAAAGAAACACTCCGGCCCCCTTAATTTTATCGTGGGAAAGGGGAATCGATGGCCAAGTAGATAACCCCGAGCAAATCCCACGCCGTTCTTGATGTGTACCTACCGTCTGTCTATCCGCCTCCTTGATATATATACATGTTAATTACCCTCGTCTGAACTACGACAGCAGTAAGATCAGGTCTTTGCAGCCCAGTTTTAATAACCTACATTCACCTCTACTTCCCCCCCACGATGGCCCGCGGATGAGACGAGCGCTGGCCTCATGCCGCATTCATCATCCTCCGAACCCTGCAGCTCATAATGGCCCCGGTCGATCCCGCCATCACCCTAGCGATGTGGTATAGCGGGTTTGTACCTCTACCTCTCCATTAATTAATATATTGTCTCTCTATTATTTGCTAATTGACGATTGCACTACTACAATGCTACAGCAACGACCTCATCCTCGCCCTCACGAGTGGGACCAGTGCACTGACGGTGGTCTACACCATCACCTGCCTGATCTGCTACTGTACTGGAAAGCTACACCCGCTGTCGCTCGCGTACATCGACTTTGGCGCCACATTCCTGTGGGTGTATACCACGGCGACAACAATCTTTTGGATGGGCGGCGGCGATTACGGAATCGGGAGCTACTTCTGCCAAATGCGGTTCACGTTTTGCTTCCTATCATGTGTGTTTGTGCGGGAGAGGGGCGTGACGACTAAGTGTGCCGGTCTATATAGTTTTCTGTTTGTGGCGACAACGGGCATGGCGGTGGCGGCGGTGTATGGGGAGAGGAAGAGCGAGAGGAGGAGAGCAAAGAAGGCGGCGGCAGCGGCGGGGGGGGGTGGGGGGTGGGTGTCGGACGACGTTATTGTGCCCGGAATGGTGGAGGCGCCGGTGTAGCCTAGGCGGGGTTTTAAATAAACCTCAAATTAGTATCGTAGGGTTTTGAAGAAACCTCAAACAAACCCTCATGAGGCAGAGTTTAAATTACCTTGGATGGTTATGCAGTTTACTTGAAGAAATTAGGGGAGCTATCGTAAAACGCAATATGCTTGCAACACGCGATTTTGTAGCATAGTGCAGGTGAGCAAGAACAATGAATATGTTCTGGGCCATTGGCGGATATGACGGAGTCTCCAATGGACTTGACAAATTCGCGAATGGACTTCTACGCTCATACATCTATGGCTGGACCAGTCTATTCGCGAATGGCCTGGGAATACTGTGGTTTTAGTAGGACAAATAGTTCATCACTCACAACTAATAATGATTTATATCAATGCTGAATGATCTCTACAACAATCAGCAACCTCTGAAAAAACCATCGACCCTAAAGACCAAACCTACAAAAATAATTAGCATCTTCATGATCTTTAGCGAGCTTAAGACCTCAATATTAACAACTGACGCCTGATATGTGCTATATTGTGGTCTCTATCAGCTTCAATGACCTCTACAACTACTTATTAGGGCCCTATGAGCTCTAGTGGAGTCTAGATTATTCTCGAGTTAATTTAAAGACCCAATTCCATTACCCTTTATCCAGTTCATTCGCCAATGGACCAGTCCAGTCCCCGATGTATGGAACAGGTAGTCCATTGGCGAATCCAGGGTATTTGCGAGTCGCCCGGAACAAATAGACCGGGATTTCTCAGCACACCATGCACCGCACAAATCGAGAGTTGAGGGATTCTGATAAAGGGTTTAAATTTCAAACCTAGAGCCTGTGGTCGCGGCCGCATGCAACCCTTATCTTTATCTACCAGAAAGACAGGGCCAGGGACAGGGAGAGGAACAGGGTCAAGTCTCAAGGGGACGAGTAGCGAGTATTCCGCAGGGTACCAAGGGGGTAGTAGGGGTCGGTATGGGAGCCCATAATAGGGGTCTCGAGAGATTCTAGCGTTAGTGCGGGTTAATGGGACAAAGGAAGCAGTGGTATGGTGGGCTTCTTGAGTAAAGAAGAGAAAGTAATATTGTATAGTAACAGACAGCGTAGGTACAGAAAACGTTGCGTAAAGAAAGAAAGAAGAGAAAAAGAACAAGAAACGAGGGCGAACCTTCCTAATATACACAAGGAAATCCCCCGTGATGACAAATCCAAAGGGACTCATACGCTTACGATCAACAGAACCCGATAGAACCCAACAGCACTTTTCTGACTAATCCAACTCCTCGTAACCCAGTGTATTCACTAATCGATCCATGAAATCAAAGGTCCTTCGCGCGTTTAATTAAGCTTAAAAGCCAACGGCATATGTACATGTAGGTATATGTATCACCTGCCGCTCAGGTACTCCAGGTATTACATAACTATAGTAGAACCAGTCAGTCAGATAACAACGGGAGAAGCGTGCAGAACAGCCAAACACTAACGCCAATGTACCATGTAGGATAGCTGAGCATGTATACTCATAATTTTTTTCCATTTCCGGACTGAACTGGGTCCACATGAGCCCGCATGGAGGCTCAAACTGTGATTCGGCTTCATTGTTGTTATAGTAGTTCTTTGCTATGAATGTCTTTCTCTCACCATTCAAGTGAGTACGATGATTTCATTTATTCAAAAGAGAAAGACTAAATCACTCGGTAAGTGGGGTCAGATACTCGGTTATGTTTCATTGAGGGACGGGAGAAAGATACAACTCAAGGAGATTTCAATGCTTTCAGGTGTTCCTAGAGCTACCTGTTTGGATCTCATCAACAAAGGCAAGCAGAAGGCACTTCAGACCGGAAACCCTGATCTTTGTGCAGAAGAAAACATTGTGCCAGATCCCAACTCGTTGAAGGGTAGTAATAAGGCCTTGAGTGCCAAGCAGCAAAGAACTTTGATTGAGTTAGCTTTATCGGATGCAACTCACTACTGTATGCTTTTAGGTGAACTTGGAGCAGCAGGTATGCCACAGTAATGCGTCTTTTTATGCATTTTTTCCCTCTAACATAATAGATAGCTGGTTTGAACGTGGGAATCAATACCATCAGTAAAACCTTGAAGGCAGATGGGATCTATCGACACGCATCCACCAAGACGCCTTTGATGAATGATAATCACAAGGCTGCACATCTGGCCTTCTGTTTGCAGCACCGACAGCAGAATTGGCAAGACATTATCTTTACAGATGAATCCTATTTTGAGACTTGTAATCTACTGGAGAGAAGAGCCAGAGGTGTCATACGATGCACTAGAGAAGCTTTTACACCATGCAATATGAATAGAAAGTTCCAAGGGGGGGCTACAGTTATGTTCTGGGGGGCAATTCTATACAGATATCCAGGCTCTCAACTACCCTACTATGTCTACAAAACACCTTACGAAACAACTATTGAATGAACCGCTGCTTTGGTAGCCTTGCAAAGGGAGTATGAAGTCAAGTTTCTGAACCTTATAGAACCTGACATTCTACCTGTCCACTGGGAGAGAAAGCATGATAGGAAAGGAGGTATAGATTGATATATATATCGAAAAAGAATTTTGTACCCCCTTCTCTTCCCTCTTGCATTACTCATCAAAGAAACTACCAATCCTAATGTGATTATAATGGAGGATAACGCACCTGCATATAAACATCAGTATCAAGAAGTTTTCAGGCATCGTGCAGGCCTTCAAAGACTTGAATGGCCTGCCAATTCGCCTGATTTGAACCCTATAGAAACTATCTGAAACGAGATGAAGGACAGTATAAAAGTCAGACTTGGTTGGAATTTTACTGCACGAGGGATCAGGGCTGTAGTTGAAGATGAGTGGAAACTATATACAGTTGAGAACATCAATTGGCACATCATGTCTATGCCCCGTAGGATAGAAGCTTGTATTGCGGATGGGGGCGGAAACAATTTCAATTTTTGAAGCGGAAATATCAATCCTCGTACTCTACTGAGTAGGCAGGTCAAAAAGGTGCATATGCGCCTATATTCAAGCTCATGCGGACCCAGTTCAGTCCGGAAACGCAAAAAAATTACGAGTATATCGCGAGAAGCACACGACACAACCTACTCTAGTACCTGTAGGTACATACCTACTCCGACTAAGAGTGCCGGCCTAGCTTTCTGTTTGTGGCGACAACGGGCATTGCGGTGGCGGCGGTGCAGAGGGAGGGAAGGATGGAGAGGAAAATGCAGAGGAGGAGGGCAAAGAGGGCGGCGGGGGGGAGGTTGGTGCCCGACGTTATTGTGCCCGGCATGGTGGAGGCGCCGGTGTAGGTGTGGTATGCGTGGCGTGACTTGGTGGGCCCTGCGTGGGTTTATTTGTTCTAATTGGGAAATATCTGTGTCTGTTCTACAGATCTCACTCCCTGTACTTACATATATGTTGATAGCCTTTCATAACCCAGGTGTCCTCAGAAGTGGCCTTACAATAGTCCTTTCCCCATGAAAAGAACGGTTACGTAGAACATAAAGACCCTCTACACCTGAAGCGCCTACCCCAAGGAAACAACGAAGCTCACCAAGCGAAGAGCGTTTACAGTATAAACATTCAGTAATTAACCCTCCCTCGTAGAGTTCGCCTGAGCTAGGGTTAGGGATACCTTCAAGAAGTTGAACCCCTTCTAAGCCAGACTCAAGGTGCGAAGGTAATTTATATGGCATACGTAACTGCATGTACTTGTGGTAGGTAATGCCATGATCCAGTAGCAGATCGAGATATCACGCAAATGCACAATTCACTCCCAAATATGATTTTTTTCATTTGCATTCTTGACTAGTACTAGCAACCCGCAGTACAAAACGTGGCAGTGATCACTACCTCCGGTGCCAAGCCGGAGAGGAAACAAACAAAGAAAAGAAAGGAAAGTTCAAAGTGACTCCAACTTGAAATAGTCATGTCACCGAGCTGGTGGTGGAAATGGTTGCTCACGGCTGATTTTCCCCTGGGTCAGCAGTGCTTCATCTATGGATACTCAGCCGGGGCGCGGGGGACAATATACATTCTTGACGCAATTCCCGGCAACGATGCCCCAATAAAGGCAGAACGAGCCGGGGCAGCAGAACTCATTCCAGGGGTTGCAAGACTTTCCAATATCCTTGCAGACCATCGAATTGGTTTCTGCTCCGGAAACAGTTAAAGCTGGTTAGCTACCGACTGATGTAAACGTGAGCATATATACGGCTAACCAATCTGTTGGTCGTCCATGAACACAGTGATTCTAGTAGTTGGGATTGCATTGATGCTGCTAGCGGCGGCGAGGGTGGAAATGATATAGAGGAACTTCATTTTGAGATGCAGTAGTGAGAGCCGGATCTAGGAGGTCTGCGCGCAAGTTTAGTTATCTGAGAGAATGTTGACGAGAGCTGGCTTTATATATCAACACTAGGATATATATATAACACAAATCACACAAATAGTTCTATTAAGATCTATCTCCACAATATCACTGTTGCCTTTGAGAATGGTCACAGGGTGAATACTTTGCATCACCCCCTGAAATACCACTGACTAGAAACATTATCGATATGTCACGCGCACGAGATGGATATATTGCATAAAATAATGGAGCATTCGGGACCCCATCCCTTCTCTCTTCTTTAAGAGCCACATTCATGATCAATGCTCACTATATTTGATACTTACCAGACGTATTCATTCTTCTTCGTAGTTTAAGCTTCCGATAATAGCAAGGTATCGGACACCAATCAGATCGAAATGTAAGGTGTCGGATCAAACTCCCTAATAATCAGATTAGCACAAGCACAAGTGCTATTTACCTTCAGCCTAGTGGCATGCAGAGCGCCTATTTACACTTCATCATTGTTATCGGAGCTCCAGTCAATTGATCGATCCTGGATCCATGATCTTGCCTCCACCCTTTCGAGACGATCTCGAGACTATATATGGCCCAATCTTAATTGTCTCGTCGTGCCAGATGAGAGTGATGGTTTTGCCTTGTCTTGCCCATCACAAAACAAGATTGAGAAGCCCGAATGAGTTCAATAGTTGTGAGCCCTAATAAGATGCCTGTATGGCAATCTTCGATTGAGATCCTAAGTACTTATGTACCTATTTCCTGGTATTAGTACTCAAACTTTAGTTTATATGTTACCTGGCAGCGGTCACAGGGTACAGAATGAAGGGAGAACTATATATACAGCTTTGTCCCGATAGGCAATATCTATGCTACTAGCTCATAGATTTTGGTAGATTTCAAGCCTGTCTCAAGACCATGGATTCAAAGATATTAACGTTGTTGAATTACTCGATCGCGAGAGAAATGTCTCGAAATGAGACTTCAAGATAGCCTGGCATAATATAAACAGGTGAGACAACTATTCGTAATTGATTTGTGGATATGTGATACCTCTGTCGGCCTTAATTGACATCCTGATCCCATTTGTGGAACAAAATCTCTAAGAGTCTGCACATTTTATTACGAATATTCTCTAACAACTGAAACCCTGGTACTGCTATAGCTAACCATGCTTATGTCTCAGCTAGGTGATATATAGCAATTCAGATCGTGACAGCCAGCGTACGGCATGCGATCGATCCCAGAGCGACCCAGCTAATTCTTCACCGGAAACCGGTAATCTGAATTCCGGATGAAGATCTGAATAAGCTGGCACTTTACAACAATGAGCCCATGGAGAGGGACGAATGGGACGGGACCGAGGTCAAACTGGAGGTGTTCTATTCGCCTCAGCTGACTAGATATCAAACCGTGTTCGGAGATCTGGAGAAATACGTATATATACACGTACCCGGGCCCATAAATCATCCGGAGATGCGTGCAACGATATTGCCTTATATATCAGAATTCAGCCTAAGGGAGAGAATGTTCATGGAACATCACTCACCTTTACATGCCAAGCCGCAGTTTGTACCTACCAAGCACATACACGCAGCGCTTGGGCTAGCCATGGTACATCGCTCGCACAACGCAACCCGCGACATCATGATCATGACCACTAATTCGGATCGAACGGTTTATATAACTAATTATAAATGCTCAATTGATTCTCGTAATAAACATGTACGCTATCTTTGCGACCTCCTGGCTGTTAAATCACGCAAAGAATTGTAACCCTTTTAAACCAGACTCAATATTAATGTGCGAAAGTGATAATATGGTATATATGCAGCTACGACTACTTGTAACAGGCAACGCAATGATCCAGCAGCAGTAGCTCGAGATCTCACGCAAGTTAAATGCACAATTAACTCTCAAATATGATTTTCCATTCTTAACTAATAGCAACCCCGCGGTACACAACGTAATCACGAACTCCGGTGTCAAACCAGAGAGGACACGTACGGAAGAAAAAAAGAAACTTAAAGTGACTTCAACTTAAAATAGTCATGTCGCCGAGCTGGTGGAAATGGTTGCTCAGGGCTGATTTCCCCGTGGGTCAGCAGTACTTCATGTATAGATACTCAGGGGGGACCAACTTACATTAATCTTGACGCAATTCCCGGCAATACCAATGCCCCATAAAACGCAGAACAAGCCTTCGCAGCAGAACTCATTGAAGACGTTACAAGACTTTCCAACCGTCTTGCAGGCTGCCTTACTTTCTACTTCGGAGATAACTGCACTTTGTTACTATCTGTACCCACTCGGAGAGAGGACAGGGTGTAGGACAGACCCATTTGGTCATCGTCAATGATAAGAACTCTAGTGGTTGGAATTGCGCTAATGCTGCTAGATGCTGCGAGGGCAGAAATGATGTAAAGTAGCTTCATTTTGAGATGCGATACTGAGGCTAGGAAGGTGTTGTGAGCTTAAGAAGGTGTTGGACTAGTGTAGTTGTCTGAGTAAAAGCGACGGGAAATAGCTGGATTTATATCTCAATGCCAGCACAACAGAGCTTCATACATAAATAACTCCATTGACATCTTAATATTTCTTCTACATTGCCGCCTTTGGGGTGACCATGGAGTACATTCTCTGCGCGACTCTTCAAAATATTTCTGACTTGTGCGAAACTATATCCGCGGCCGATCGATCATAAGATAGATACTATGCAAGGCGGAATTGAACGCTCGGAAGGAGATACGAAGAAATCTAAAACAGTTACAATACGGTTCTTCCCGGTTGATATTGAACAGATGACAGAGAGTTCAGGACGCATATCAAGTACAGAATATTCAAACGTAGTCACAAATCCTATTAGCAAAATGTTATACAGAGGTCAAGCATGACGGGATCGGATATACAACCCTTTTTCTATATAGCACGCATCGCTCGGATGGAAAGTAGCTTACTCAAAATAACGCATTAACTACTCATATGTACATATCGCCTTTTGACTAGTTGGTTTGTCCATGGGACGAACTTTTGTCGGCCTGCCGCGGCCTCCTGTGCATCGAAAGTTTATCTCTATAGTCTGGATTCACCAGTTCGTCACACTATTCGCTTCCGTCCAGTATACTACATGTATGTCATTCTGCCGCTATAGGAACGTATTTGACAGCTTGCCTTATTGTCCTGTCCAATTCGTCTTTCGGGAAATCCTGTGTTTAGAGCTTTTATACATACTCAATTGCAAGCTAGGACTATAGCACCCAGTCCTCCAGTAGTTGCTACACAAGCTGACACAGAACACCGAGACGTTACAGATAGCGATACACACAACATGAATCATGACGGGACCTCCCTCGATCTCGTCTTATCTAGATCTTATAATATATGGGAAGAGAGCCATAGTTTCTACTGTATGCGACCATATGTACCCAGAATCAAATTGATGATTTAAAAAAAAAAAAAAAAAAAAAACAGTCTTCTAGTTAAAGGGGCGTACTATCGCGCAAGGTCTTGAGACCACAGCTCATGTAGAGATTAAGGGTTTCAACTACACGCCAATAACCCGGGTTAGGGTTCGCACGAATTCGCAAGAGTCAAGCTAGAAAATCCAGAGTGGGTTTTCTATATACAGTCTTCCTGTAATAAACAATTACTTATATAATATTATACCACCTATACCACATACACAGCGCCATAGTGAATTTTGAAGGTAACGGAATGATGATTGATGATGAGTTGGGTGGTGAATTAACCACATCCAAGTGCCTTTTGTACGTCCTAGAAGATGCGTTCATTGCCGACCATGTCCGAGTCTCCAAAGGTAACCTTACATACTATGGAATGGATCCTCAGTATTCACAAGCCCCATGTTCTTCTGCACGACCCGAGCTCAATATCTTCCATATTCCTCAGGCCGAGAATTAATGATACTACACATATATAGGCTTGGAGTCTACAAGTAAAGGCTACTATAGAAAGGTATGCATCCCGAATCGATTCAGTATAGTATGTCCTCCGACTCCGCAAGGTTAAAATACGAATCCACTGTACTCTGGTTGGTCTTTGTAATCAACCGGTCTTCTCTCTCTCCCGCATTCCCCTGTTGAGGAGCAACTATTACGATCTCAAGGTAAATCTTTATATTGGATAGATGTTGAACATGAATTGTTGAATTTAGGCCCTCTACCTTCACTTCGCATATAATCAAACAGAAAAGGAAAAAAACCTCTTCGATCACCGAGTGATATGTCATGATGCAGCCTGACCTACTGATCACAGGAAGTGATACTAGTGAAGACTTGCTAGTAGTGAGGATAAATATCCGCCATATCCGTAGCAGCTTGGACAAGATGATGAGTCGTTCTCAGTTGAGCCACTGCATACCTACCCAGCCATTGCATGTCATGCATCTAATGCGGCGTAACACTCTGTGCGCGTGTTTAGTAATCAGTTTATCGCAGTCGCGGCGACATCCAAGTGGTCAATTGCGCGGGGTTCGAGTACATATGTACATTTCAATAAATCGTCCTATTCTTCCATCCTTTCACCTTATTATTTCTTCCTTCATTTCATCCTCGAGGACAACCGGAAACTAATCTCATTTACATCATGGTCTGGGTATTCTGGAACACGTCCCTACTCGTATGCTCCACCGAAATCTTGCTGCTCACCACCGGCGCACAGCCGCGGTTCCTTGCCTCGATTATGCTGTGCACCGGTCTGGTAGGAGTTCTTATCCTCCAGACCCCCGACGCCGACCACCAGACCAAAATCCTTTATTATCTCTTATACATTCTCCTGAACTGCATTACCCTTCTCCTTTCCCCTCTACAAATTGTGCTCTTCATTTTCCTCGGTCCCAAGCGACCACTCAACCACGGCATTAAAATCCACTACGAGCTCAAGGGCGAGGACACGGACAAGACAACGGTCGAGTGAGAAGCCCCTTCACGCGCTAAATTTCATAACTGACCATTAGCTAACGAGTTATACAGTATCGTTGCGGTTCATGGGTTAGGCTCGAACCCAGACTGGGCGTGGACGTGGGAAGACCCGTATACCCAGGAGAAATGCATGTGGCTGAAGGACTTGCTCCCAAAAGCATTTCCACGAGCACGGATAATGGCATATAACCATAACTCGGCATGGTTCCGGGAAGCACCAGTCAAGTCAGTGAGGGTGTGCGGTGAGCAGTTGCTCTATGCAATAGAATCATCCAGAACACCGGAAAACAAACCATAACCAGGCTTTGGAGTGCGTCATGATTTGGTCCATATAACTGAACGATGGACGCTCATCATATATAGGAGAGTTCTAGGCCTATCATCTTCATTGTACATAGCTTTGGTGGTATCATTATCAAACAGGTTATTTTCCCTAAATCTCAAATTATAACCATTGTGCTAAACAGAATCGTTCAAGGCAATGGTTCTCGCCGGGGGCGACAGGCAATCCAAGACACATAAAGCCATTGCAACAAGCGTGAATGGTGTCATGTTCCTCGGTGTCCCACACGATGGTTCACAACTGACTGCGTGGGGAAAGCTTCTCTCTTACTGTACGTACTGGCTCGGGTCCAGCACAGAGCTCCTTGAAGCACTGCAAACTGGCACTAGCTTTCTGAGGGACCTGAATCGTGACTTTATTAATAACTACGGCAACATGCGCACGGTTCTGGTAGACTTCATTGAACTTCATCGGACAAAGGCGTTTGGGTTGCCGTTGCTGGTGGTATGCATTACTCCATTATCCGTACATCATGGTGCAATGTCTGATCGGCTTTGGGGCGAGGGGGATAGGGTGTCGATGCTCACTCGAGCTCGAATCCGGGGGTTGACAAGGATACCGCTCGAATCGGATCATATTAGTATGAACAAGTTCAGGGCGGAAAACGGAGCATAATTATGAGCTTGTGAGAGGGCGAATCAAGCAAATTGTGGAGAAAATTGAAAAAGGTTGGTGATATTTTGGATCTAGAAGCGCATTCGTATCTTTGGGGTACATGTGCCGATATATCCATCAGTAGCTAAGATGTATGCGTTTACAGAGCAGTCAACTGCGATTAGTAAGGAGCAGAGTCCTAAGTGAAATTTTTTTATTTACCTTTACCAAAGCAGATTACTTGTTCTTACCACCGTTGGATCGGCTGCTCAGGATATCTGCAATCCCTTCGCCTGGAAGACGCTGATCTCCGTTTCAAAAACATCGAACGTGCTCACAAGGCCACATTCGATTGGGTCAGTGAGAATCCAGTTCTTAAAGCGTGGATGACAGAAAAATGCTCTCAAATTGTCTGGGTAACTGGCAAGCCCGGCTCAGGCAAGTCGACGATCGCCAAGCACGTTGTTGAGAAACTCAAGGCGCAGGAGAAGTCACAGAAGCCGAGCACTGCTACTCCTATCGTTAGCATATTCTTCAGCGATCGCGGTAATAAGGTTTTAAACTCGGTAAAGGGGTTCTTTCAGATGCTGCTATACCAACTCCTAGAGCAGAGGCCGGCGCTGTTCTCGTTGTTTCCAGGGAAGGCAGAGGATCTTAGGGGGGAAAGCTCATCCTTGTCGGTCGATACGCTGAGGGATTTTCTTTTATCTGTGATGGAGAAGAAAGAGGTAAGGTCTACTCGAATCATTATCGATGCCTTCGACGAGAGTAGCGAGGGGTGCAAGTCCACCGTGCTCCCATTCCTGCTTGGGGAGTTTGCCAAATCACCCTCTGCTCCACAGATTCTCCTAACCAGCCGCGAACATGCCAATCTGGAGATATTTCTCCGCGACTATCCCACCATCAAACTCAACGAACTGAACCGTAAGGATATCTATGAGTACGTAAGCGACGAAATCAGCAGGTATCACAGCTACCATCAGAGTCATGATATCGTCAAAAGACTCGTTCAAGAGGTGGTTGACCGCTCTCACGGCGTCTTTCTCTGGGTTAGGCTGGTGGCTGCCGAGCTACGCAAGGGAAAAATGATCGTCGGAACGTTAGATGACCTCGAAGCTGAAATCGATCTCCTCCCGGATGGCCTCGCTAGCTACTATGACCGTATCCTCCGCATGCTTGACACGAGCCCTGGATCAGAGACACATCGTATGTTTGAGTGGGTGCTCTTCACGAAGCGCCCGCAGACCCTTTCAGAGTTTTGCTACGCAATGGCAATGGGGTCAACATCATCGCAACGCCCGAATAACCTTGATGCTCTTCGGTCCAAGATGATCCCAACAGAACTGATGGAAGCCCGCATCAGGCAATACAGCGGCGGACTGCTAGAGGCGAAGCTTTCGGGTCCGTATGCGGATGCGGATGTGGATATATGTTCTATCCGTGTGGGTTTAACTGCTACGGATGCGGATGCGGATGCGGATGTAGGTGCTGTACATGTGGGTTCAAATGCTACGGATGCAGCGGATTCGCAGCTTACGAACAACCGGGCGAGCGTTCAAGTGATCCATCAATCGGTAAAGGACTATCTTCTCAAGCTCAGATCAAAGAAAACACTAGCAACGGAATTAACTGAATTAACGGAATCAACGGAATCAACGGGCCCGCCGGCGACGTCGCATCTTTTCGTTCCCGGCGCACAAAAACCTCGCCCAGACATGCATCAGCTATCTGTGCTTTCCCGACTTCAACACGCGCGTTAAAACCCCCTTCGGTCAAAGATCCCTCAGGCCGTGGAGGTATTGCTCGCAGTATTGGCAGGAGCACTCATCGTTGTCCGAGCTCAGCGACACAACCCCGCAACTGCTAGACTTTGGCTGGCCGGCGAAGGTAAACCTCGAGCTGTGGTGGACCGGGATCGCAGCCTCCGCGAGGAATGTGCCGCGACAACGCTGCCGGGTGCACAACTGGAAGAACGTCCACCGCCTGTATCACCCACTGATGACCGCGTCCAGGTTCGGGCTTCTGGGGGATGTGAGGTATTGGCTGCGAGCACTAGTGCGGAGCCCCTCAGGCCAGTACCCCAGGAGTGTTCCGGACGGAAGGATCGTGGTGCTGAGGTCATTGTCCGATGCAGCGGAGGGTGGGCATATGGATGTGCTTGAGCTGCTTCTTGAGTCGTATCGCGGTGATTACAACGGCGCGCCGGTGCCACCTATCGATCTCGGCTGCAGGAACGAGTTCATAGAGGGAGCCCTCCTCGCCGTGCTGTTCCCAGGACCGTACCCATACAGCAAATCAGGACAAGCCAAGATCACGGGCCGCCTCCTCGAGTGGCGACTAGAGGAGAACGGCCATGACGAGCAGTACACGCTCCTGTTGGCCTGGCTTTTATGGATCGCCCAGCGGGATAGGCGCGAGGAGATCGCGGAGCTACTAGTACAGAGGCTCAATGCCCCGACCTCCGCCAGCGACGGACGCACTGCTCTGGACCGTGCAATGGCGACGTCTGCGTCTGATGCGGCCCAAATGCGTGTGTTGCTGCATTGTGGGGCCAACGCGAACTTACATGTTCAGCGACATTATCCAGGTAACCCCCCGAGGGACATCGCACTGTGCATGTGCTGCACGCCGCGATCATGGATGAAGACGTGAGGATTGTCGATGTCCTGCTGGAGTATAATGCCGATATCCATGCTACAGATGAAGCCGGCAATAGTGCTCTACACCTCGCCATCATGCTCGGGAAAGGGGATATTGTGGCGCTACTCCTGACATACGGCGCAGCTGTTCATACCCCACAAGGAAAATACGAAAACGCCTTTGACCTAGCGCGACACGTGAACCTGATGATTATGGAGATGCTCCTCGAGAAACACCCCGAGTATAAACTTAGATACAAGCTGCGGAAAACTCTCGCCAAAGACGACTGCAAATGCGACCCGGCCGACGAGTGCACATGTCAGGACCGTATCGTTCCGATCGAGGACCCGGATGCCTGAATCCGGAAGGTAATCAACACGATTTACATACGCCCGGATGTTCACAGCAGATGTTTAGAGACTGTGCTCTTCTGTGGCCAGGTCAGTATGTTGAAATCCGCGAATCGTTGGGGAATCGATTCTCCATGTCGATTGTGCAGCCGCACGGTAGTCCTTGTCTTTCCTTACATTTCCGGGGGTTATTGTGGCGGGGCCGGTGAGCGAACCTCCAAGCCGGGAGAACGCGCACACAAAGGGACCGCCATCCCACTTCTTTCATTGCTGGCCAACCGCGGTCTCTTTGCCCGCCTTTCACCAGCTTTCTGGCTTAGTCATTTTATTTCTTCTTTCTTCGTTTCCTTTGTCATGTATCTAGAGACAGCTCAGATTGAGCTACGGTTTCATAGCGCACATGGGGTCGAACATTCATTCATTACGTATCACTCTTTACTTCTCTTGTTGTCTTGTAAGCTTTGGCTTCTACGCCGATATCCGGTTTTTGCTCACAATAGATGCTGTTTACCTGATATCGAGGGACGTTTAAATAGAGATACCAAACACCCCACGGGGTATGCACCTGTACTCCAGTTAGCTGGCTACTCCTCAAAACAGCTTTGATTCATGCAATACCTCAGCGGCCATGACCAGGAAACATGGAAGCCACTTTTGTTAGGATGAGGTTACGATGCTTCCGATCGACCGTTTCTTACGAGGACCACGCCAGGCTTCCGGTGCAGAGGTCTGGTTTCGTTGGTGGAAATTTCGAGTAAATACACGGCTTCGAAACCGAGTGATTTCTCATGTTTATGGCCGGGATATCAATGATAATGCGTACCGTGCACCGAATGTGAGAAATTACCGTACAAGTAAGATTGCTATGCTTTTGCACGCAGCCCATTCTTTCACGGGTATAGCTGAGCACTTACTGGAGACGTCGTGAGATCGAGAAGCTATTGATTAGTCATCAGATAACGCCAAGACCCTACCAGTCCCACCCCTTGTTACCTCGACTTTGTTCCTAAAGACTCGCGAAGACATGATAATTACTATAAACACTGATAAAGATCAGTTGGCTGCTGAAAGGATGTGTGTGTTGATGAGGTCTGGTGCCAAGACTACTAGCGTTAGATGTAAATTAACCAAACCTGGCGTCACACCCCCGATTGAACAGATCTTGGTGACGTGTAGTCAATATCTGGCAAGGAAACGGAGTATATAACTGAGGCCGCTTCAGTGTACCTTAAAACCACGGTTTTCTCCAATTTATTTCCTGTGGGGGGGGGGGGGGTGGTTCTGGAGGAGGGGGAAAGCGTCAACTAACCCCCCCAAACCCCCGCCCGACTCCCCCAGCTACTACTACACAAGCCAGGCATGTACTTCTAAACAATACGTATATACAATAATACACCGCGGGCTTTAGAGTCCTTTTATTCCACATAGCTTCTCACACTGGCTTTTTGAATTCTGCAGCCGCGTCGGTGGCTACTATCCTAAGCACCAAAATAATAGAAATGGGACACGATTATATAAGCAACTAACTCGCTACCAATCACAAGCTTTCTCAATTGTAGTTGTCCGCGATTAGGTTAGACCAGCCGCTACAAACCCGGAATATTAATAAGTCACATAATAGCTACCAGCCACCATACCCCATACCCCGAAAGCGAGGAGCTCATGAAAGAAAAAAACATATCTCACAGATCACAGATCGCACAACATCATACACCCGAACTAGCTGGCTAAGAATAAAATAAAAACCACCATCGTCTCCACCATACCAGGCCGCCGAACAACTCCCCCGGCCCCCCGGGGGGGGGGGGGGGGGGATGGGAGCCGTTGCGAGAAGATCCTGGAGTTTAGGTAAGGTAAAATTCAAAAGCATCATCTAATCTGTCAGCGCCCAAAATACTCACGCACTCTCACCCCTGCCCCCCTCGCCCTCAGTATCACACGACATCGGAATCACCAGCCGCGACGTTGTCAGCTTCGCGGGCTCAAGCAGCTGCTCGAACGAGCGTGTGCTCGGGTAGTTATCAATCAGTTCTTTTGACTCTGTCAACATTGTCTAGATAGATAGTTGTAACCCTTGGTCAGCAAGCATTCCATTCCGCTTCCCCGGTAATGGGGCTGGCCAAACCTTCATCCTCAAAACACTGCTCAGTAGCTGGAACAACAACGGCAATTCACTCGTGGTCTGGGGGACCCGGCACAGCGTATCACAGCTGAGTAGGCAGAGGTAACCCTTCGCATAGCTCATCCGCAGCACCTAGCAGTGCAGCCCTGATATTACACTCGTTCAAATTAATAAGGAGAGTATCTCTATTTGTGAGGAGATAATATCCAAAATATGGTGGGAAGAAAAACAGCAATGTATTACGGACATAACGAGTGCTTTTCATTGCGGACCTCTTTGCTTAGTCTTTCCAATGTGCCACATTATGACATGCATGAGAGGTCCTCTAGGAGCATAAGATAAGTGACTAAGTCCTTTACTGTATAAAGGTGACGAAGTCATATAGTGACTAAATGACCGAGTCTTTTAAAATGGTCACTTATATGACCACCGTTAATAAATGACTAGTCATTTAGAGCTAAATGACCTTTTTTTTTATTTATTATTTTACCTCTAAATTATATTATTTACTACGGATACGGTATATATATCTCTGTCCGTCGTTATTTATCTCGTATCTGCTGCTACCACTGCTGCTGCTGCCACCACTGTTTCTGTACCGGTGCTGTTGCTGCTATTAGTGGTGGCTATACCAATTGGCACGATGGATCTGACCTACATACTTGTTACTGGTGATGATGGTGGTAGTGATGGTGATGATGAGGATGATGGCGATGTTTGGAGAGAAGAGGTGGGGGGAGAGGCATCTTTATAGCTGGAGGATCAGAAATAAGGTTTCACTAGCGTAAAGTTAAAGTTTTCAACCAAAAACTACGGTCAATTAGTAGAAAATGACGAAATAATTTTGCTAAACGACTTAATCATCTATTTTTATACCCCAGAGATCTGACAGATAGATAAACTCTTATACCAGTGACACCCATGGGAGATCACAGTGATGGAAACCTTTGCATGAGGGAGATGATGAGCCTGTTTATTTTCCAGTCAGGTGGTGTCGATCGTGATGATACTTCGAGGCAAGTTGAAACATTCCACAACCAATTGGAAGGGGCACAAGTGTGCCTGGCCAGTTTCTACTATGCATGAAAATGTCAAACGCGTGTACGTCAAGCGATCTGGCATCCCAAAATGAGTCGATCACACCTGGCATAATAATACTCCACACTTGGCCCTCTGCAATATGATGTAACCAACAACAAGCACACCTGGCCTAGGCAAGTGCGAATATGTGCCCTGCATATTCTTCTTGCATCATCACTCGTTCACAACTCATCATTCCCGTAATTCTGATCACCGAATGTCACTCGGGATCGCGGGCCATTACCTTTCTTGATTTTAGATTTCCGAGGCGGAAAAACATGCCGCATATAGTACTAGTGAGTGTCTTCTCTACTCAGAATACACATCCCCACCGCCAACATGACTGCCGCACCCAAACCCCCCACCCCCCGGTCACCTTACACGTTTACTAATTATCCTATCAAATAATCAAACTTACAAACTGGATAACGGTGAACTACCTACGAGTGACTCGTTCCGAGGATATTGGGGAGGCTATAATACTACAATTTAGTGAAGCATAGGATGACGGAAACTGGCCCAGGTCCTCCCTTGTTGAAGCTTATCGAGAAGGCGGTTTTAGAAGCCATAAGGTGACTGTGCCAGCCCTTTGCCCTATATGAGAGCCACATGAGATGAAGTTCCACGTTGGTTTGGATAATGACGCAAATCTTCGAATTTTTCTCTGCGGGTTCATGAATTGTGCGATGACTCAACCGAAGCCAAGGTTTACACACCTACACATAAAATACACCTTCCCGCGCCAGAGATACGTACTCTAGCCTTTGATCCTTTGCCTATATATAACAAAGTACACCTTGCATGATCATGACCACCATTCATAAATACAAGCAAGCGATAGCCAAACGGACTCTATTCCCGGGTTCGGGCTGCATTCTATCAAATATTTCGTTTTTCTGATGCTGTCTTATAATTACAAAAGCACTAGCTGCGTAAAGATACCCCCCGGAAAAATTCGGTGTTGACACTAGTGCCACTCGGAAATCGCCAAGATTTCAAGCATCAGTAATCTCCATCAACCTATTCCATACCCTCAGCATCTCATTGGTGTACCAATAATACCCTAGACTCGCTGTATTGCAGTCCAGTACCGCAGCAGCGATCGATTTTTTGTCACCTCCTTTTATAGCCTCCCCCCAATTGTTCTTAATTCCTATTTCATCTCGCCTCAGAAACACGAATCCAAATCCCACAAGTCGTCTCTGGATGATGTTGCCAATCTCTTCCCACGAAATATCAGGTATAGCAACCTCACCGGCAATTCCGCGGAGGACCCCGACGAGCAAGGCAATCCGCTCACTACCAAGAGCATCCCACTCGGCGGTTGTAATTTTGCCGACGCGCTCATTTATCACGTATTGCGCAGGTTTAGCGGTGGACTTTGGTCCGGGCGATAATGACGGTTGCGGGTCAGGAGCGCTCCCGGAAGGCTTTGGTCCATGGTAGACTAGGTGAGCGAGAGCTTGAGCGCTCACGCGGGTTACTTCGGCGTTGATTTTGAGCGCTTCCATTAGTTGTGAGCCTCGATCTTGGGGATCTGAAGAGCTTGAAGGAAGGTGTGGTGCGTTGACAGCTAGGTGGGCAATGGCTTGGGCGTTTGCGCGGTTTGCTTCATTGTTGATCTTGAGCGCTTCGAGTAGCAGCTGTGAGCTGGGATCTTGGGAAGATATTACAGAGGAATTGGAGGTATTGGAGGTATTGGACATCTTGGGCGGAGAAAGATGACTGCTGTGCGTAGGAACATGCATAAAGAAGGAGAGGAGGAGTTGAAGCCTATGCCGTTATATCAGTGTAGATTCCTTCCCCGCTTTTCACTGTGCCTCGGCGGGATATCACTATGGGGTATTAATAACTACGTGTGCATATGTATAGTTACGGTTGGGGCTGTCTCAGACTGGCCTGCAGAAGCCTATGGGGCCCAATCGGAAATTAGCTACATTTACATCATACATACCAAGTAACTAAGCTCAAAGAGGGAAGCTGCGAGCTTGAGATTCATCCGTCTATTCTAATGTACCAATTGGTTGTTCCTGTCGACCATTTACAAACATCAGACTACGGGCAGTTACCATAATCAGAGGGGCTACGCTGATTTCTCGGCTTATCTACCGCTTCAAGCGCGCGGGTTACACGTTGTTGGACAGATTTACGGTCAAGCGTTAGTCAGACAGTAGACGCGTGGAATTGCCGAGACAGGCGCAGCAAAAAGGAAACGTAGCGATAGCGCCAGCAACAGTTCGTTTAGGTGTCCAGATCATGGAGTACCTCTAGCTAGTTTTTCTTTTGTATCATCATCATCATCATTGAATATACATCATTGCTCTCGTTTTGTCTTGATCGAAGTTTTATTCATTCTCGTATCTTTCGAATCGTCGTCGAAGAAGAGTGAATACAACAACCGGCCAACAACGTGGTGACCCCTTCGTTCTCTACAAAATCTTCAAAAAAAAAAAAAAAAAAAAGGGAGAAAAAAAAAAAAAAAAGCCCCCCGGTGGTTGGCGTTGTTTTCGTTTGCAGTTTCACCAAGGTACCTGCATACGACCCCCCCAACATCACCGAAGCAAACGGAATAGGGCTTTTTTTCCCTCCTTACCAAAGCAAACGAAATTCCTCCCCAGCTCTCGCTCAAAATTTCCGAAAGTGTCATCAATCAAACGAACCCCATCACCTACGTCGTCAAGGGTTAATCGACGGAGGCATACCCGAGCAACAATACGCGGCATAAGGCAGATGATTCAACCGCAAACGGATTCTGTCGAAAACACCGCCGCCATCACATCGAGCAGTGCCCGCCCCAGAAGAGTTCATAAACCGAGAAATATCCTCCCGGGAAAGACCCCCATCGCTCCTGATACATCAGACTCAGCCAGTTCAGAAACAGAGACCGAAATGGCGTCCGTATTCGTGGAATCAGTACCAGCCAGGTCCTTTAGCGGACGACCCGGAGAGAGAGTCGAAGCCTTCATCGAGTCTGTCATTCTCAACTTCGAGCCAAAAGAAAGACTCTACGCGCCAGAGAGGAGGGACGCAGCAAGAGTAGCGATCCTCTGCGCAAATCTCCGGGGGAAGGCAGCAAAGTGGCTGGAAAGACAGAATGAGGAAGTTGCGTCCTCGTGGGGCGAACTTACCGAAGCATTGAAGAAGAGGTTCAACAATAAGGGGAAGAAGGATGAAAGACAGAGGAGAGCAGAGAATGCGGTGACCAACCTCAAGCAAGGCAAGCTTACGCTGAAGCAATACATTCGCAAGGCCGAAAAAGTCAACATGGATCTCCCGGTAGCGTCCGATCTTCACAGGACTGCCGGCAGAAGGTTTTATGTAGGCCTATCACGCGAACAGACTCGATGCAACTTCCTTAGCCTGGGGAAAATCGATGTCGACGATGACTACACCCTATCACAAGCCATTGAGGCCGCGAAGAAGGTGCTCGCAACCGGCACCAGAGAGTTGAGTAGACGCTGGAGTGGCAGCGAGAGTAGTGATGAGGAGGTCAACACGAGCGACAGTGAAGATGATTCCGATTCCTATGAATCCAGCGAGAAGGAAACGAAGGAGAGTAGAAGGAAGAGGAATGGGGATAGTAAGACGAGGGTGGCGTTGGAGAAGGAGAGGAAGGTAAACAAGGTTCTAATTGAAGAAAAGAGAGCCCAAGAAATTTTTGAGAAAGAGCGCAAAGAGAAGAAAGCCGCGCTTACCGGAGAAGTAGCCGATCTGAGAAGGCTGGTGGAAAGACTCTCAACCCAGCAATATAATAACCCATTCGACGTTACACCCGCAAATCGCGAGACTGAGGTCTTCGCGGTAAACCGCGGATACTACAACCATCCGAGACAGCCGTCGAACAACCAAGCGCCAGGTATGGGCGGTCCCCAATACCCGGGCGGCTATGGGAACTCGAATCAGCTGTCTGCGTTTAATCAATCGCAAGCCCCAAGCCCACATGCAATCGCGAGTATGGGCTCCTCGCAGTACCCGTCGCACAGACAGCAGAGCTACCCTGCTACGGGATACATGCCGAGAAGGCACACAATCCAGAACGACGCGAGACCAATCGTCATGTGCTTCAGATGCGGACAGACGGGTCACTATAGCCCGGAATGCGTAAACCCTCCTCTGTCAATCATGGAGCAACAGGAGGTGAGGCGCAGGGTGGGTGAAGACCAAATCGAGAAAATCCGTTTGCAACTCGGCCTTCAGCGGCAAGCCCCTCTAGGGCAGTACACCCATACACAGGGACAAGGTCAGGCTTCCCAAGGGCACATTAATGTTCCCCAGGGACTACCCCCAAATCAAATCGCCGGCGGACATTACACCGCCGCGCAGGGGGCGAATCTGGTGCCGCTCGGAACAAGGCCAGGTGGCACCCCAGGTGGCGAAGTGCGTGCTTTGGTACAAGCAAATGCGGCACAAGCGGGAGTGAATGCGGTAGAGATTTGCGCGGGGGATAGAGAGGTTGGCGGCATTAGGGTGCCCGAGGCGAGTTTAGTTGAGTGGTTTGACGCGGATGCGGTGGGCAAGAGAGATAGCGAGGAAGCGTTTGGGAGATGGAGCAGTAGGGCAGGAGGACCTACGAGGAAGAAGACGGCGCAGGTTGAAGATGAAGATGAGGAGATGGGCGGAGTCGCTACAGACAAGGGCAAAGCGAAAGCATATCAGGCTCCCGGCGCGAGTTCCAGACAGGCACCGAAGACGGTGGAACCAAGGCGCCCCATTCGGATGATGAAAGGGATCATCCCCGAGAACGTTGTCCAGCGACTGAGAGATACTAAAGTCGAAGGGCTCACGTGGGGAGCACTGTTCGATATTGCCCCAGCTGCCCGCAGAGATGTAGCAAAGGGCCTCGTGCAAGAACGTGTGCCGAGGGCCCCCCGGGAGAAAGCTACTCCAGCTGCTCAACAGGAGGAAGTCCACACAGTCGAGGCAGTTAACAGAGCGCGTGAGGATGAAGGACCCGTTGTGAACTTCTACACCGACGGAAAGGTCAGAGCACCGGGGATCGCAGGTTTCTTCACAGTAAAACGAATCCTCGTCGATGCCGGATCATCAGCAAACCCGCAACCTCCGCCAGACGCTCTGGACGCTCGAGGCGCCCAGGGCGCTCGGTAGACAAACTGCCTCTCCAGAGAAGCAGCAGAGCGTTCCTGGCGCTCCCTGGCGCTTAGCATTCCGCCCTGGCGCGCACTAGGCTACTCGCGCGCCCTGGCGCGCACTAGCCCTCCCAACGCGCCCCGACAGTGATACGCTTACCCCGACGCAATGCTCTCTCGCCTGACGCTCTCTCGACGGAATGTTCTCTCGCCTGAGACTACTACCTATCTCCTGGACGCTCCTGGAGCTCTCGCGACGCCTCAGGAAGCGTTTTGTCCGCTCCTGAACCTCTCTGACGACTCCTGGGCATATCACTAATGCTTCTGGAGCACTCCCGACTGCTCCAGCGGCGCCCGACGCACCGCATTTTACCTTTCAGCGCCATGTTTTTACCAGGCATACTACTCTTTGCTTTAGTAGGCACTGCTTTGCAGAGCATCCAAAACCGTGATTCTATTACTAAATACTAACACTACAAGCGTCTTGAAATCGCCAATCGAATATAATACAGGTATATAGGTATCTCTCCAAAGCACTCGCCGCTGCTCTCCAAAGCACTCGCCATTGCGCTCCAAAGCACTCGCCGGTGCCCTACAGATCCTTTTCCTCCTCCCCTCCCTCGCGATCCTCATCTTCATCCTCCTCGCCTTCCTCTTCCGCTTCAATGCCCCGAAGTTGAGCCTGAACCACCTCTTCCTGGCCGCCACCGTTGTCGGAGATATCCCCTGGAGCACTCGGGGGTGCTCTCCGAGCATTCCGGAATGCCGCAAGATCCGCCGCTAACGCTTCGTCGTCCTCGCTAAATCCATCTTCCGGTATCACCTCAATAGTGATACCCTTCTTCTCTCGTATCTATCAAGGTTAGCCTCCGTATGCAGAAGAGCGCTCCGCCATTGTAGCACCCATCTATAGCATACCTTCTCCCGGAGGTTATCCTTGATCACCTCCAACGTTGCCTCCTGATTCTGCCTACTCCTCCCCTTCCATATGTTGCTCATCCTGTTGAACGTTTCTACTCGTGTGCAATGTCAGCGCGCGAATCCACTATAGCTCTGGGAGCATCTGTTACTGCTCTCAAAGCACTCGCTATAGCTGTAAGGGGATCAGGGATGCTTACTGACAACACTCTCATTCTGTGACTGGAAATGGTCAGGCTTCACGTATGTTTCCGTTGACCATGCCCGAATGCCATGCCAAATTGCAGTGGATATCAGGCAAATAAATGTAGGGGTAATCCGCTCTAGGAACTCGGGGTCTTTTACCCCTCGCATCCTGACCCCATCAAAGTATTTATAGTACAATATGTCGATAATCTCTGGCGCAAGAAACCGTAGACGGTAGGTCTAGTATCTGTTAGCAGCGTTCGCGAGTGCTCTCCAAGCATTCCGGGTGTCCGGGTGCTCTCCGAGCATTGACACCCGAGTGCTCTCTGGTCATTGACACCCGAGTGCTCTCTTAGCACCCCCGGGTGCTCTCTAGGGATTGATCATACCTCGTAATGCTGCGCAGGGCTCAAGAAGCGATCATTCTTTAAAAGATACTCTACTTGAGCAGCCCTCGCCTCAGGACTCGAGAGCTTTCCAAGCCCATAGATGGTCGAATCCGCCAGGCGCCCTTTAACCTCGTGCATCAAGTGCGAACGGACTCGGGAGTGTAGACTTCTGACCTATCGTTGTCAATTACGCTTCCAGAGCACTCGTCAACGTTTCAAGGGCATTCACCTGTTTGATAACGACCTCGTCCAGATCTACCGCACATCCCACCCTGCGACTGGCAGCTGCCCACATGTTCACTACCAGTACCGAAAGCCTCGCTGCAGGTGGAAAAGGCTCATGTAGAAGAGTGTGGTCCCCGATTAGCGTGCTGCACTCCTTCTCAATCCTCTGAGCCTGCATTGAGAGAACGTTTGCACTCCTCGAGCTAGGTAACAAGGATCTCTGAGATAGGTTGCTCGCATGAATGTTAACAGTGCTCTCAAAGCGGTCGTCAGTGCTATCGGGAATACTTCTAACCTCGCTTTCTGCTATAGGAGCATTTCCTTCCCTAATAGACGACGAAAGCTGTGCAATATCGTAGACTCTTGGTTGCGCTTCTGGTAAATATACCTGAGGGCTTGAGGGAATCCGGGGACTGCTCATAGAGCTCTCGCCAACGCCCTCAAAAGGCGGGGAGGAACGATAGGGGCGGTAAGTAGGTGAGGACTCCCCGTATCGAGAGCGCAATGAGGAAAGATCGATATGGCGCGTCGAAGAGCTGTAATCATGATAATAAACAGGTTCAGAAGGCCTAGACTGTGTGGGTATTGGCGGTGCTCTCTGGGATGCATTCTGGCTGGGTGCCGAAGTGGGAGCTGCTCTCCGTACTACCTTTGCACCCGGACGTGCTCCCCTCTAAATCGTTAGCGTTTTGTCCTTAACATTAATGGGTGGGATGGAGTCGAACCTGTACCACATCCACCGACACGTCGGAGGAAGCAATAACCTCCGCTACCGCTCCGGTTGGTCTCCTCCGAGCATTGCTCAGTGCTCTGGCAGTAGTCGGCTGCACTGTACGAGGCCTCTTCCCCGTACTCTGGGATCTCTGCTGAGTGGAGGCTTGAGGTTCTTCCGACTCCTCCGGGTCGTCCAGGTTCTCCTCAGAGCTCTCCTGGGCGTTCTCTGGGGAGTCATCATACTCCGAGTGGCTGGTATCGGCGGTTTCCTCCACCTCTGGCACATCCTCCTGATGCTCCTGCACTTCAACGCTGTCAGTATTGCCATCGGGGAGATGGAATTCTACCCTTCTAGGGCTGCTTCTTCCAGTAGATGTGTCGGTAGAACACAGAAGCCCTTTACGCGCTATTGGGGCGGTTGTCGACTGACTACTCCGAGTGCGGGCTGGCAGTGGAGTCAATGGTCGGCAAGGTATCTCAGACTCGTCAGTCAGTAAATCTTCATGTTCTTCAGGTCGTCTTGGGAGTCGTGGGCGCTTTGGGGCAAGAGGTGCTGAACCGGAGGAGCGCTTGGTGGGAGCCATTCTGATGGCTAGCAGGAATATCCTCAGTGCTCTAGGAGCACTCGCGGTATCTTTGATTAGAAATCAATTCTTGGCGAGAAAATTTGCGCCGCTAATCAAGAAGAATTTGCACGGCTAATCCTCCTACGGCAGGGATCCGCTCAACCGCATCATTTGTAATCACTCGTTTTAATGCACTTTGCACTTTCTGAAGCAATACCGAGTGCTCTGAGAGCAATCTAGGAGTTTGACTCGACTCTGAAATAAAAGCAATGCAATTACGACACGGAATAATCTAATCTAATCTAATCTCATCTAATCTCATCTAATCTCATCTAATACGACAAAACACATCCATTGATATATGCTCGCAAGACAAAGGAAATCCAAAACATCAAATCGTACAGCACCTCCATCTCAGTAGCACTCGCGAGTGCTCAGAGAGCACTCCATACTGCTATTCAAAAACCCATCAATTCATATATGCTCGCAAGACAAAGGAAATCCAAAACATAAAATCGTACCGCACCTCCTCCATCTCAGTAGCAGTCGCGAGTGCTCAGAGAGCAATCTGTACAGCTTTTCAAAGGTTAGTAGTGAGAAATCCGCAGGAAGAGTGGTGAGAGACTATACCAAAGGAGACTAATGATGCCCACCACCATCACCACCACCACCGCCTCCACCGCCTCCAGCTGGCCCACCACCTCCACCACCACCACCACCACCGCCTCCACCACCGCCTCCAGAAGGTCCACCACCGCCACCACCACCACCACCGCCCGGAGGTCCGCCCGGAGGAGGAGGAGGAGGAGGAGGAGGAGGAGGAGGAGGAGGAGGAGGAGGAGGAGGAGGAGGTCCACCCGGAGGAGGATTACCACCACCACCACCACCACCACCGCCGCCCGGAGGAGGATTACCACCACCACCACCACCACCACCACCGCCCGGAGGAGGATTACCACCACCACCACCACCACCACCACCACCGCCCGGAGGAGGATTGCCACCACCACCACCACCACCACCACCGCCTCCAGCAGCAGCCGCGAGTGCGTCAGCAGCTCTCTTGGCTGCTATCCCGGCAGGCGTCCAGATTACTCCCTGTTCAAAGTTTGCGTCAGCAACCCCTACACCCAGAGGATACTTCCTCAGGTATTTGGGGTCTAAGTCGTCGATAGCATCCTGCTGTCTATCGCGACGTCTAACAAGAGTCTGGATTAGCCTTTGATTACTGGCATCAGTTCTGGGCAAATATACCCTCAGTCCTTTAGCATTTATGCGGTGATTTCCCTCCTCGTAATCAGAGTCCTCTGCTGGAATATCGATCGTGGTGTAATCGTCTTCCTCGATATGAGGGAATGCTCGTGTCAGCGGCGGTGTTTCAGCACCACCCAAATTAGCACCCGCGCCCGCTCTGTGGAGTACCGCCAGTATCCTCCGAGGCCTGCCAACGCTATTCTTCAACCAACCCTCGACCTCTTCCGAATCAGTGATCTGCACCTCCATCGGCCGAACAGGAGGATTGGATGCCGGTGGAACGTTATCGAGTGCTCCCCAGATACTCCTGATTGCTCTGCCGGGTGGGGTGTGCTTCAGGATCAAATTGCAGAGCCCTGGAAACGTTATCTTGGTCAGAACTCCAATGAACGAATTCTGATTTCGTCGATGGTTCCAGTCATAGATAGGGGGCGGGGCAACCCTGGAGAATGCTCCTAGAGCATCCGGGTCTACCACCGTAACCATTATGGAAGGTCTATCGAGATCTGCGGACACTGGGTCCCGTTTACGCTTCTTAGAGCGTTGGGCGGGCAGACCACCGTCCTCATCATCATCGCTATCGTCAGCAACGTCTTTATACTCGCGATTTCCCTGCCCCCTCGATAGCTTTTCCTTCTGCCCAACATCACCGATGAGCCACTTCAAAGCGTCCGCGAGTGCTCTGCGGGTTGCGGAATCGCCTCCGTTCCACATAGGCAGGAAACCACGGAGAGGGCGTATGTTCAACACATGGAGGCATAGAGCAT